CTCGTTAGCCCTCTCTTTGTCTCTGTCCCCTTTAAAAGCCTCCCTCTTCAGTTCCTGTTTGCTGGATCCCCATCTAACGTCTGTCTGCTTACCTCGTCTCTTCCTGGCTCCTAGAGTTTGGTTTCCCCTGATGTCCCCTTGATTCTGGTTGGTTGTTATTTTTGTTGGATTTTTGATTCCTGCCTCTGGACCTGTGATTAAACCCACCTAACTTCGCCTCTGCCTTCTTGCCTCTGCTTTTGGGTCCTCCAAACCAACACCAAATCGCGACAGGAGGCTGCATATGGGGTGCATTTTGTTCCATTATTATTCCGTTAAGCAAAAAACACATTTTTTAAACGGAATTTTTTTTATTTTATTTTTTCTTATTTGTTTATTTGACAAGTGTGTTTCATGAATCATGTCACACACTACAACATTTTAGCTAAGGCTAATTCTCAATGCCTGTGTTAGGCTTTTACACAAAACAACTGTACACAAGAAACAACAGAACAAATTACACACTAAACATCACAGATACAAGATCAGGTCAGTTAGATTATTAATGTTTACATGTCTGACCTCTCAATAGAAAGTTTTTAAGTTTATGTTTAAAAAGGACCCAGTTTGACTCTCCCTTCAGTTCTGCAGGTAATGTATTCCATGGTGCCTTAATTAAAAACCCCCACATTTTTTAAATAAATAGTTTTTAAAAATGTTTAAATAAATAGTTTTAATAGGGTGACAAAACGTCCCTGTTTCCTGGACGTCTGGGGCGTCCGCAAGGGGATTATGAAGTCACGAAAATGTCAGGTTTTCACTGTTTTTTATCGGACCATAATCATATGCTTAAATGGGCTCGAGCTTTGCAAAGAATTCTACGGTACTTTGTTGTTGCCAGATGTAATTCTGGAGGGGCTGCCTTGTGGGTGGGTCTAACGAGACACCCACACACGGAGCAGAGCAACCAGCATTGGACACAAAATCCTGAAACGAAAGTGCAGCTTCACTGATGAAGTGCAAAAGACATTTTTTCGCGTCATTTTTTCGCATCAAGTGTGAGGCTGAGAGCACCGTATTCAAAGCTGCCACACATGTTTTAGTGTCTAATAAAGGTGCTAGAGATCTCAAAACTCCCATTGACACTGGAAAACTTAAAAAAGCTGAGAGCTCCTTAAAGTTTACTGAGTAATTTATTAGTCCTGGAAAAACAGAGGATGCTGAGACTAAGTCATTTTTTGAAGCTGATACAGAAGAGGTCATATTTAGAACATTATTTGATTTAATTTATGTAACTTAAAAGAGAGCTATAATTTTGTTAGTAGTTTTTTACAAGATATTTTTGTTCCATTTAGGTATAATAAAGCATGTTCATTAACCTCTCAGAAATCTGTCTGAATCCATCTGGAGGACGTGTCCTCATTTAGGAAATCAAAATATGGTCACTGTAGGATTTTCTTTGTTCAATCTTTTTTTTTCAAATTTAATTTTCATAAGTTATTTAATTGTTTTTTTTTTCATTTTGTGGAAAACTCAACAAAAAAATTAGGAAACACATAAAATTGTAAAAAAAAATTGAAAGAAAAATGGAGAAAAGAAACTTCGTTAAAACGTGAAAATTAAATCTGAGAAAAAGATTATAAAGTTGCCCTGAGAAAGTTCTTTTTTAAAGGAATTTTCAAAATTTCATTTACGATTTTTTGTAAATTTATATTAACGAGACGTTTCTACTTTCACTCAAGGTCAAACGGCACTCAAAATTCTCTCCACAGCTGTGGTCGATCAGAACCAAGCTAGCCTCATAAAAACGACCCCCACAACCCTTTTCTGTTAAAATAACAAAATAAAATAACACGTTTTTACTATTAATTTATTTTATGCTGTTGCTATTGTATATTTGTAATAAAAGCGATGGTATTCTTCCTTGTTAAAAAGTAGCATTATTATTTATCTCTTCTCATAATATTCGTATAGAACTTGCATTTGTTTATTCCATTATATAGTGGCAATTTTATTTATTTCAGTTGTATGTTTGTCTATGTTGATACCTTAAAATCAAAGTGAATGAAAAACCACTTGGCAATAAACCTTTTTATTATCTTGATTCTGACATCATTACCTTGCCAGCAGGCACCGACTGTGAGCTGCACATCGATCTGCGATGGGTGGATTGGCCAGTCGTCCGTTACCAGGTAGGGATCGTAGGTGACTCCGTCCACGTAGAGCGTAACCACCGGGAACTCAACGTTGATGACGTAGTAATGCCACTCCTTGTCACATATCTGAAAGAAAGCAGCACATGGAGAGGGTGTGTCAATGTCAATATCCCGAGAAAAAAAATCGGACACGTTTAAGGAACACGTTCAGGGGTTGACGTTAAGGATTTTTACCACTTGCCCTTTGGGCAAGTGACTTCCACATTTCATTTGCCCAGAAACAATTTTTACTTGCCCAGTATAATGTTTGATAAATATAGTTCCTAATATTCATTTTTGTATATATATCAATGAAACATGTTTGTTTTTTTAAATGTTTTTTGTAATTCAGTATTTTTTAAGTTTCCTGGTGTGTATCTGCATGCGTCAGATAATGAACTCAAGCCTATATTACCGTGTTAACATGCTTTTCAATCCTTCCTGCACATTCTTTACAAAATAAACTTTGCTTTAAACTGTTGTGTGCTTGGAAAAATATAAATTGTAATGTTAAAAATCTAAAAAAAAAAAAACTTGACAGGTTAAAAACTTCAGATAAATCACAAGACAGAAGTCAATGTCACCAATGAATAACTTTTATTTTAGAGTCACAGTATGTTTATAGAAGATAATACTATTAATATAATGTGACTTTTCTATAGAATCATTATACATAGTTATTTTATTCAGGGTTTCCACAGTCTGACATCATTTCAGAATTCCCTGACTTTTAACTGACTCAGGATTAGTTTTCCCAGACAAAATAAATGCAGCAACGAGACAATAATAATAACACAACAGGTCACCAATCTAACATGTTTAGCTCTATAACATTTAAATGCACCTCTCCAATGTCTAAGAGAAAAAAAATTAATGAACATTGTTTAATGTATGACCTGCATCACTGTACAGAAGACTGCCATATGATAGCGCTTTCTAGCTTGTTTGTCGTTTTGGTAACTACATCAAAATTACCGCTAGGTGGACAAAAATCACGCCATCTGACGGAAAATCACCCGGCCTTTTCAAAATACGCGAGAATGTGTACAAAACAACAAAAATGGTGCCGGCAACGCTCGTGGGTCGTTTTCAGCAAATGTCTGTGATTTTAAAGTAATTTTGAGTGATAAATAATCGCCCAGCGGGCAAATGCAATGAAATTTGTACCTTCCCGACAATGAAAACTACTTGCCCCGGGCGATCGGGCGATGGTTAACATCGAGCCCTGACGTTATCACAAACTTATATTGGAAGTGCTGTGGGAAAAAGTATTCAACTGTTCACTCCAGTTAAATAAACAGAGAATGATGGATTTCACTCAGTTTGTGTTTTATTACATCTTTGCAAAGAGAACAGGACATCATACAGCTCTTATTACATGGTAATTAGCCCTGTTCTGATCTGGCTAGCCTTTGTTTTCCTTACCTCAAGTAATCAAAACCAATCACAGACACTTTAGTTAAACAGTAACATGTTATGAATAAACCTTGAGAAAGAAACTGGCTTATTATGGGAATAGGTTTGACTTGCCTGCAAACACCCCTCACTCAGACATTTTGTGGCATTTCAGGTGAAACAGTCTGAGTCAAAAGATTTTTCAGTGAGTAAATAGCATAAATAAATATATGAAATTAGAAATTAATAAAATCGAAATGTTCCGACCACAGAAGACAAACCGACTTTTCGTTTAGTTTTTTTCAGACATTTTGAGATCTATTGAGAAGTCTTTAGCCCTTTCCCAATGTTTTAACCCGCAAGCAATCGGCTTTTAGTGGCAGTAGGTACGGCTCGCTGACCGGGTCGTTTGACGTTGGTCGACGTGGGTCAAAATCACCGGCTTGGCTCCAGTCGTCATAGAGTGGGAACGCCAGACCTAGTCGACCAACTTGTTTGCGTTGCACCCTTGAGAGCCACATACGTATGCCACGACATTGCACCTGTTGCGTCTGACCCAAGCATTTACAATTCAGTCATGGAACTCATTCCAAAGAAATTAAAGAAGACCTCTCAACATGATTCAAAAGGCTATTCACATAGCCCAACAAAAGACTCCATCAATCCAGAAGAACCAGAGGTGGCTATTTGTTTTGCACCTGACTTGGAATGTGCTTAGGAGGATGGATCTCCATGCCACTTAACTGTATCAGCAGTCCAACATTAGATTGCTCTGATGTGATCCACCAGTACTGATAAAATCAGCTGAAATATGCTTGTTAACGCAAGTTTTTCAAACCCGAGTACACTCGCTAACAATCTGCGTTTGGCTTATTTACGATTTGGAAAAAAAAAAAACCCAGGAACCTCCGTTGGCAAGCTGCATAGCCTCAGTTCTCCACTTCTGCAAGCCTGGTGGAGTCATCATGCTAGGTTAGTGTTGATGATGTCATCAGTGCCTCAGAAATTAGGAAAGTAAACCATGGAGAGCAACATGGAAGCGAGCCAGGGCATATTCAGTGTGCTTTATTGTTTGGCTCTTTTTTTTCCCTTTCTGAATCTCTCTCACCAGAGCTGCGCCTTGATGCTTATCTTGGTTACTTATCTCAGACTATAGACGTCCTGGTCCAATGTTGAAGTTGAAAACTGGCCTCATATCAGTCAAAAACAAGCATCAAGACATATTAGCCTGTATTTTGTTGAATTTTGTGCTCTGTGCAACATTATTTATTCAAGCCTTTTCTAATATTTCTAAACATATAAATTAATCTGATTAGCTTTGAAAGAAATATTAATTGAACCTTATTGATCCCACAATGAAGAAATTAACTCTCTGCATTTAACCCATCCTCTTGGACTGCGAGTGAAATCTTGAAAAGCTCGCGAGATCAGGATGGTCTCACGAGGCCACACTGGAAAAAATCCAAACCTAGATAAGTAATTTTCTCTTAAAATAAGTGCAATTGTTCTTGAATTGAGAAGGTAAAAGAGACATTTTACCAATGGGACAAGACAATTTACATTTAAAATAAGAAAGACGATTGCATTGTCTTATTTCAAGTGCATTTTATCTAAATATCTTATTTTAAGAGTAAAATTACTCATTCCATTGGCAAATCATCTCATTTACCTACTTTATTAGCACACTTTATTAGAGAAATTTTTACTTATTTCTAGATCGTTTTTCCAGTGTAGTATTTAGCCTTAATAGCAGGTAAAAGCAATGATTTCCCAATGAGTATTTTACCTCTTAAAATAAGATAACTAGATAATATGCACTTGAAATAAGACAATGTAATTGAGTTTTTCTTATTTTAAATATAAATTGTCTTGTTCCATTTGCAAAGTTCCAGAAAAAAACTAAAATTTAAGAAAAAATGACTTACTGAATCCTACAAGCTCAACCTTTCACATTGCTTAGTTGTGTTTTATCAGCAGCTGCTGGACCAAACTGCCTGTCAGATTCTCCTTCCTCCTCTCATCAGGTTGTGCTTCTTCTCTCTCAGCTCCTCTGCTGTAACCTGGGGCACCATTTGAGCACCCAGCCTTGGGTAACCTCCATGTTTAATGAGGAGCGCGCCGCAATCTGCTTATTAACACCATGCTAGCAGATGGGAGTTCTAATCAATTTAGTTCTTTTTCCCAGTTATGGAGAAGTGAGGTACAACATCTGGCCTGTTGATGATGACGCTGCACAGCTGGTTTATATGCAGGCGGTGTGTCGATCCACTGAGCGCAGTCCAGGGGGGATAATCCTGTTAAGGGTTGATGTTCTGCAGGTTTGATCAATACTAATGGGATCAAGTTTAATTAGCTATTTAGGATGTTAGGACTAATGTAGTTTCTTCTGTCTGATCAGGATATTGTGTTTTTGTTTTTTTGTTTTTTTACTCTTTAGGATAAAAGAGAGAATTTCTTTAAAATATTGGAAATCATT